GGTGTAAAGCAGTACAAGGTGTACTGTCCTGATGAATTGACCAAGATTGAAATCATCAAAAGCAAAATATTTGAACTGGGAGAGAACTTGGGGCAGAGGATTATATTCGTAAGGACAAAAAACAGCGCAAGAATGTTGCATCAAACACTCGTTGAAGATGGTTATGCGGTTACTAGTATTCAAGGTGCTCTCACTGTTGAAGATAGAGACAAAATAGTCAAAGAGTTTAAGGATGGATTAACCCAAGTTCTTATCTCAACTGACCTACTCGCTCGAGGCTTTGACCAACAGCAGGTTCACTTTCTCTCCATTCTTTTCTCCTTCTGTCTGATATGCCTTACAAGATTTACACGCTGACATGATACCTTTTTGTAGGTTAATTGTGTAGTCAATTATGATCTCCCAATCAAATACACAAGTGGCCCCAGGACACAGGACCCAGAGCCTGATTATGAGGTGTACTTGCATAGAATTGGAAGGGCAGGGCGTTTTGGTCGCAAGGGTAAGTTTCTCATTCCAAAGTTTGTCTTTTGGTGTTCTGTTTCGTATATATTTTGGCTCTTTTCCGCGTAATGGAGTTGTCAGTTGTTAGACCTATTATTTAATTAGGAAATATGTGGTACACAGCATCTCCTTTGATCATGTTTCATTGAAGAAGGAAACAAAATAGCTGTTTATGTTTTTGGTATATTATATTACTCTCTCGATCTAACAAAATAGGTAGTGTGCTGATATTACATTGCTATGTAAATTTGGAGTTACTAATGTGAAATGGAAACATTGACTGAGCGATGTGCATGTGTAATCGTGCAGGGGCTGTGTTTAACTTGATTTGTGATGATTGGGATGAATTGATCATGTCAAAGATTGAGCAGTATTTCAACTCACCAGTAACAGAGGTAATAATCTTGCACCTCATCCTGCTTTAACTTTGAATTTGTTCATGGAAAATTGAGTCCTCCGTGTTCTTCTAAAAACAAAAGTTCAGTAACTTTTTATTGTTTGATAGGAAAGGATTGGAAACTTCAAATTTTATACATTAGGGAGTTTGAGTCTTCATAAGTTCCAAAATTTATCAATATCTTATTGAGGAGATAAATAACTGTAAACTATTGTATCTAATTGCTGTCTCCTTGTTGCTGCTGCGTTAACAGGTTCAGAATACTGAAGAAGCTTTTGAAGGTGCTCTTAAATCAGCTGGCTTACTCTAAGGTCTTAAGGACATACGCAGCTTTAGCACAACCAGTTTTGGAAAAGAAAATACTCGGTGACATTGTAGCAGAAGAGCACATCTTTCCAAGAGTTTTTACTTTTATTTGAAGTTATTTGTGGACCTCTACGTATATTGCTTGATGGGTTCGCTGTCTAGTTTCTGTAAATGTTACAATTGCGTAACAAAATAGAGTCCAAGTTTTCTGTTTTTAATTATCCATTCTTCTTGTTACTAGGGGCCATGTTTGTATGAAGTCATTTGTGATAATCATTTAGTGAGTTTGGAGCTTGATCCAATTTGTTTGCTATATTTTTGGTGTACTATTTTGTTGTCAATAAGATAACAAAATTCTTGATTGAAATGAACAAGCCTGCATATCATATGAAAGCTCTTATGTTACAAAACCATCATCAAGATCAGGCATTGGAAACCTCAAAATTGCGGCAATGCTGGTGGTGGCCAGCTCCACTCCGGTCACATGTTTTGCCGAAAACACAATCGCCTTCCCTCCTGCCCCTTTCACCGACTTCACCAACCCTACATACTTATGCCTTGTCCCGATTTCTGCACTCTCAAACAAATCATCCATGATCAACAGCGTTTCGATGGCCATCAACTCATGTGCCATCTCCACGCTCTTCACACCATAACATGCTCGATCCGAATTGCTCAATACCATGTCCGAAAACTCCTTGTAAGCCCTGATCTCCATCGCAGCCTTGGTGTCCTTGATCAAATTCATGACCGCATTGTCATGCAAAACCTCATGCAAGCTGCTACTACAATTATTATTGTCGCCTTTGCTCGTATTAACTACAATCCTTGATTTGTTGTTCTCAACAATAGACTTGAACTTCAACCTCTGCTCCTCCCCAATCAAAAAACGACGAAAGTCTTCCTTCATGCTTCCGGGACTCCCAATCTGAATAATTAAACTTTCTATTTTATTCAAATTAAGCTGGTTGTCTTGAATAATTTATAAAGATAATTGAAAAGATGACCTTCATATTATTAAAAAAATTGGTACATAATTTAACAATCTGCATATCCTAAGTGGAATGCACGTCCCAAGTAGTGCCCTTCCACCCAAGTAAAACCCATTATGTGTCCTATATATTTGCTTCCTCCTCAATTTAATTAGAGACAGGGAGAGAATTTGAGAGAGATTAATTAAGAGAGAGGAGAGCTATGGCGATGCTGATATTTGCAGTATTATTGATTGTAATGGGTTGCACCCAAACGGCTGATGCTTCTAATTATGAGGAACCCAAAATGAAAACCATCCATGTAGGTGGGAAAGTACTATGCCAAGATTGCACCCAAGGTTGGAATGAATGGGTTCATGGTGCCAAACCCATCAAAGGTATGTATCAAAATCCTTCCTCGTAAGTTGTCCTAAGCTGATGCGTGCGTAAGTAATTGTTAATCCGTTGATGTGTTGTGAAGTCACGAGTGATTAATATATGTACGTACTTGTTGTCACTGATTAATGAATTAATTATATGAATGCAGGTGGGAAGGTGTCTGTGACATGCATGGATGAGAGAAGCAGGGTTGTGTACTACGGAAGCGATCTGACGGACGAGAAGGGCCAATTCGACTTGATCATAAACAAGTACATCAACGGCAAAGAACTCATAGCCAAGCTATGCTCGGTGAGGCTGGTGTCTTCCCCAGACGCCGCGTGTAACGTTCTGACCAATTTTGCTGGTGGACGCACTGGGGTGAAGCTCAATAGGCCCAGTTTGATGTACAGAGATTTAGTCAAATACACAATTGATCCATTCTATTATACCACTCCAATGTGCGAGAAACCAGATACTGATGATCACTCTGATAATGGCCATGGAGGCCACTACTAATTAAGTATAATAAATACTTTTTCTTTCTACTTCTTTACTTCTTATGTAACTTTTTTTTTTCTTGGAAACTTTTCGTTAAAACTTGTAATTCGGTGAATCAAATGTTTGTGAGACAATATGTTCATCAAGATTATCATATATAATTAGCTTAACACAATTTATGCTAATGTCACGTGAACTAATGCTCGACAATATGTACTTATTACATCAATTATTATAATTAAGTGCTAATTGACATAATAATCATGTTATACAATAACAAGTGGTTACAAAATGTATTCCCTCTATATAGTATGGACGGTTTGGAAGTCAACCATGGGGATATGGATGTAATTGGCCTTAATGGTATCTCTACAATGGAAAAAATGTATGCCTTGGCATGGAGTTGAAATTCTTGTTATTTGCTTAGATGAACAAATATGCGTCTGCTTCTTCTGGAAGGATAAGTGGTGTTCAAGGCATGGTGAGCAGTAGCCAAGAACAGGCATACATACTCGTATTGTGTAGACGTATTGATAGGGAAACACTACATAGGAAGAAAAAAAAAAATATTGCTAGTTATTGAAGTTTTCAATTGATTGTACATATATAGCTAGCAATTACCTAATTGATTGTTTGTATCATAATGGAGTGACTCAAACTTACCTCGAGTGCAAGGATAAACATTCAAATCCACTCGAACTAAAAAACCTCATGAATCAATAACAACTTGTGTTTTATGTGAAACAATAATATCATGTTCACACAACATGACACTTGAATGAAACCCCACTACACGAGGCTCAATTTGTTATAAGAGTAAGTGAATACAAAAACTTTTTTCTTTTTTTGAGTGAAACGGGAATAGCACTGCTTTGCTACTCATAGCCAATCATAGACTCACACGTGAAAAAATTATTACGTGTGACATGCTATGATTGGCCAAAAATAGAAAAATGGTGCTATTCCCATTTCATACAATTGTTTCTCGAGCAGATGGTTGACGCGGTTTGGCTGCAGCACCAAATAATTTCACCAAAACGACAGTGCAGCACTACCACCATCGTCGTCTACGAAGGAGCTTAGGATTCTCGAGAACACATTTGTTTAAGCTTCAAACAATTGGTTCCAATTTTATTTGATTATCAGTACCAGTAGTGGATTTTTTTTAATACGAATCGTACAGCCAAGCGGCTATAGTACAGTTTCTATTATCAAAAAATCGTATAGCCGTTCGGCTATACCTTTTTGAGACTTGAGGAAGCGGGTGAAAGCCTCCAGGCGGGTCTTTTTTTTTTTTTGTTAATAAATAGTATAGCCGCCCGGCTACAGTCGGGGTGTTGTTAATAAGAACAGTATAACCAGGCGGCTATACTACGGTGTTGATATTTAAAAATAGTATGGCCGCACGGCTATCCTAGTTTGACACGTGGCGAAATAATAGCTGGGAGACAGGCGGGTCTTCTTTTTAAAAAAAATAGTCTAGCCGGACGGCTATGCTGCGGTTTTCATTAAAAAATAGTATAGCCGATCGGCTATACTATTTTTGGCACATGGCAAAATGGGCTCAGACCCCAGGCGGGTGCTTTTTTATAATAAATAGTATAGCCGAGCGGCTATATTCGGATTTTTTAATAATTAAACTCGTATAGCCGCACGGCTATACTGTTTTAACACGTGGCGAAGCGGGAGCAGGAGCCATCGGGTATTTTTAAAATATAAATAGTATAGCCGCGCGGCTGTACTGAGTGTTTTGTTAAACTAGTATAGCCGTTCGGCTATACTATGGTGCAGCTGGGGTATTTTTCAAACAGAGTATAGCCGAACGGCTATACGCCTAGCCGCGCGGCATTACTGGTTCTTTTTTTATAATTATTTTGTATAAATAGTATAGCCGCGCGGCTAGACGCTTTACATACATACCGTGATCTATTTTTTATATTTGTTTTTTCCCGAGCTTTCCAAAATCAAAGGAGTGGAGAGAAGCTGGAATAAGAGTGGTCCGAATTGGTCTGAACTGAAGCCATGGCGACCAGCCTCGCGCGAAGAACAATAGCGTCTTCGTCGTCGTCGTCGCTGATTCTGAGATCAACGGTGTACGATTCATCTCCAACGGTGATCAGCGTCGTCCATGGTGGGTCCCAACCAAGACGGCAATCATCATCATCGTCATCGTCGTCTAGTAAATCTGACAAGGCGGAGAAGAAGAAGCCAGTGCTAGAGCGTCTATCGTCGGTTATAGACGCCGTCAACGACAGTAAACTCCCTCCTGAGCTTCGTGGTCAGCGCAACAACATCAGGTCCACCAAACCCAATTTTTCTTTTGTCTGCTAATTTTGGATTTTTCTATTTATGATCATAATTTTTGAATTTTGGGATGGTGGGCACTGGGCAGGTCAGAAACAGATATAATCAATGTGGTTGAGCAAAGAATATGGCATTCAATGGAAGAAGGGCAGTTTGAGAATTTACCAGGAAAAGGGAAGCCCCTCAACGTAACTAGAAACCCTCATGCAGACCCAGCTGAGGACACTCTGTACAGAATTCTATCCAAAAATGGCTGTGCACCGCGGTGGGTCGAGCTCAACAAGGAGATAAGGAGCCAGGTGTCTGAGTGGAGGCTGGCTCTGAAGAAGGCTTGGGCAAATAAAAATGATCACTCAAAATGGGTTGAAACTTCTGAGGCTTTGAAGTTGCAGGTCAAGCACATCAACAATAAGGTTTTCCAGTATAATCTCATGGTTCCTTTTGGTCGACAAATGTTAGGGCTCAAGTGGGAGAAGGAGCTGGATCGCTTGGAGTTGGAGGAATAGCATTGTTTTCTTCCACTTGTTTGGTTTGGGTTGAGTTACTGCGATTATATTGTACAAGATTAAAGTTTTTATGTGCGTAGTAGTTGTTTTGATGGTATGGATTCATATTATGTGCACTATTTTGATCAAATTTGAAAGCTATCAAAACCCAAATAGGGACAAACATAATGCTTATACACAGAATTACAATCAAAATTGAATGCTAGTAAGAGAAGACAAATAGATTGCCAAAATGGTACGCCATACAGAGCCACAAGAAGCAACCATCAAAAGTATTCTTTTCAACTTTTTCTAATAGAGTTATCGTCTAAAACGTGTACATGTTTTTATCATAATAAGTTCATCCAATTGAAGAAGTTTTCGCGGCAAGATGAACAAGTGCTCGCCTGTGGTAAGTCGTACGAAGCTTCTTGTACTTCTCCACAAAAACCCCAAGATCAACCTCCCTATCAATGAGCTGCTGGTGCAGGTTTTCGGATTCTTCCTCCGTCTTATTCATCGCTTCTGCATGGACAAACAACGTTTCATGTGCCAAAAAACTCGATTGTGATTCATGCGTAATGCAATTTTGTAAGAAATGGCGTATTGCTGCCTTAGCAATACAGAATCCTATCAATTACTGCACAATTTCAAACTATCATTACTGCATACCTTGAAGCCTATGGAGAAGAGAAGAAGGGGAATATTGCTTTAAAGTTTCTTCTTTCTGCCTCTCAAGCTCATTTAGCCTCTCCTGAGCAGCGGCCAACTCGGTTGTTCTAATTATTCTGCACTGTGGACACCAAAAAATGGGAGAGAAGGTTCAGTGATCAATACAATAAGTTTGTAACTAGTACGAGAATAAAATAAGCATTGTAAATGCTCACCTGGTTCCTAAGTTCCACCATGCGTGGTTCTTTTTCCAAGTTTTCCCCTGTTTGACAAAGATAAATTTAAGCTTTCTTTTCTCATGTATATATAATTCAACATCAGGAGACAAGTAGATTGGAAAATGGAACAAATAACTCACTGGATAATTGCAGCGTTTCCCTCCGTAGTTCCTCTCTTAGCTGATGTTGTCAGTAGAGACATAAGAAACAGAATAAAGACATGCCCCAAAACTCAAAGTATCAGAAACAAAGCAACTCCACATCATGCTAACAATCATAGTTAAGATATCAACTTCCCAAGCATTTGCTAAATAAAAGGAAAGTGTTGATATCAGTGTGGGTGCGTGTGTGCAGCAGCATTTGAAACATAAAAAGCAAGAGTACAACAGCAAAAGTTAAAACTTACATTATTTTGAATTTTGACCTGATCGAGTGAAAGAAAAAACTGCTGGTATGCATCCTTGTCAGCCAAAAGCTTCCGTAGCTCATCAACACTAAACGCATTAATAAGGAAAACATAATGATTAGTTACTGATTACTGCACAAAGATAAGACAAGAATTGCATGAAATCTGAGAGGGTTATCTCTGCATGACTCAAGACACTGAGACATGAGACATAGTCAATACAATGGACTTCAAGCAAGCACAATAAAAACTGAAAGGTTACAACTTTATAGATATTTTTTAGAATATAAGTCTCTCAATTATACAGACTAAGCAATAACAGAGTCACTTACTGAATAATATGTGATTTAACAAGTATGCTCTTTCAAAGATTGATTAAACCAATGATTGTGCGAACAAATCCTGTCTTGATATGTAAAACCTAAGTTCTAAGCTTGTGTGTACTCCTAAAATAAATACAGGTTTCTTCTTTCTTGTATTCAGTCATCAAGTCATTTTCAGCATTCTTCAGTCTATCCAAAACTTCTGAGCTTTGTTTTATAAATAAACCAGCTCAAACAAAACTTATAACTATCCAAAACAATCATTAAGGAATGGTATATTACGAAAGGACTCTATACATCCAGATTTCTAATGTACAATCTAAAACACAAGAAGCAACAAATGTAGATATATAACAACCTATATATGGGGCGATATAGCTAAGAACATTGTCATCAGTAGTAAGTTGAAGAATTGATCAGCCCTGAAACAGCAAAACCATCATTTCTATATAATGAACAGATATCTGTAGCACCAGGATCCCTACCTTTTGTCCTTCAAAACAGCAATAACACCGGCAGCTTCGGCGGGCGAAACATGTGATGGAGACGGTGCCTTTTCTGTAAGCCTTTGGTAGCTCAAACTGCTAGAAGAGGTGCTGCTTGGAGTTCCAGGGCGAGAAGAGGTTGGAGAGTTAACTACAGATGGAGGGTACCATGACTGTGAAGAAGTAACAACCTCCGGCCGCGGCTGAGTTTGTTCCTCCTGAGATCCCCTGTGTACATAACCATGGTTAAATCTCAGCCTCTCCAAAACACAACACCAATAAAACTACTTGCATCACAATTCATGCAATTTCCAATTTATAATTGCAGAAACGAATCAATTCAATTGCCAACAATTTCACAAATCGATTCAATTCATGAAATACATCAAATTCGCAGAAAGAAAAAAAAAAGGAAATTTGTAAACCGACATATATGATCAGATAGCAAAATGAACGAAAACGCCATAAAATCAAGCTTCGGCATCGGAATTCAACGCTAGGACAAATAAACCCTAACCAACATCGAAAAGCAAAATTACCAGAACTTGAACATGGACATGGCTTGAGGAGCTTCTGGACCGTCCGATCAATCGAGCTAGGTCAAGGAATCGAATCGAATCGAATCGAATCGACAGGAAGCTTGAGCTGTACGAAGCAGAGCGAGCAGAGAAACGGAGGAGTTGGAGCACAAAGAGACGACGAGGACTTTCGAAGCTTCAAACTGCCCGGGTATGTTAGAAAGCACGTATCAACGGTTACGTCTCCGTCGAGATTGTGATACGCGTGGCTTTGGCTGATTGGTTGAAAACGCTTGCGAGTAAGACAAGGATCACAGAAGATGCAAAGAAACAACTTGGCAGTGTCGTCAACAACTCTGCCGTCATTGGGCCGTGATTATGGGCCAAAATGGACCCCAAATATATGGTCTAAGTAAAACCCAACAAATATACCCAATTGGAGCCCGACAAGCATCGACCTATGGATAGTCGACTCTGGAATTCACACTTACCGCTTCTTCTAACATCGAAAAGAGAAATACCATTATACTGATATCTAATTGGTTTTCAACTGTTTGTTTAAGATTTGCTTTGTCCATTTGTGTTTTTAGGTATGTGTTTGTTTGGCCATAGTTAGCTTTAATTGTAAGGTGGGATTAATAAGTGTAGGTTGGAAGAATTGGACTATGCTTTCTGGTTGACTATATAAAAAAAAAAGGTACAACTCCAAACAATACCATCTCTTTTGAGTCTTTCTATACAATTGTTCTCTCCTTTTAACGAAGTTCTTTAATTTAGCCATTTTTTTGTACGGTCTAAAAGGTTGCATCGGTGAAGTTTCCTTGCAGTTTGATAATGCAAAATAAAATATATAGAGGAGAAAAAGGAGATTCTCAATTTGGTTGTAAAGAAGCAATAATGCAATATATCCCTCAAGCTCAAGGTATTTAATGAGACCTAAAGTACGATTGGAAGGTAAACAGCATTATATATGCTTGGCTGGTTAACGACAGTGGAGAGTAGGCTGGCTAATCGTGTTGGTGGTTAAAATCTAAAGACAATGTTTTAAGCTATAAAATTATATCATGAATTTGTGTTAAGAGGGATTGAGTGGTTGGATTGGATTGAGAGAGAGAAAGGACCCATCGGATATGTGAAAAAGACCCGTATGTTTTCTTATTAATTCTCAACTCAACATTTAACTTCAATGTGAAGAACAATGATTCCAATCCAATGATGAAATATAAGAGACTGGATTTTCAAAATAATGCAACGAGCATTCTCAAATTACAAGTGGGGAAATTTCATTTCATTTTTACACATTCAACTCGACGTAGAAATCTTAACTTTTGCCTCCAAACTTCAAATCTTCATTTTGACTCGAATATCTTAAGTGCCGACCTTAAACCTCAAATCCGAATCTTTGAATTACGAACCCTAAAACTCAAAATTGGCATTATGATTATTTGCATTAATCATTTTCTGCGGCTACCAATAGTAACTAAAAGCAATTCTGTTTCCCCCGTTTGATGATGAAGAAACATCATCCCCATAGTACTAGCAGGACCACACACGACTCTTTATATCCACAAAGGGACAGTATAATGAATCGATCCAAGAATATTAAGGGCTGGAAAAGTTGGATCATCTTACTTTCTAAGGAAAAATTTTACTGGAAAAGGAACAACAATCCCCACTCCGAAATGTTGCACATTTCTGTAGGCTGTTGATGATCACTATCTCTTTCAAATTAAAGAAAAAAGTTACTAGCTCAACAAACAACTAGTAGACATAAGAAGCAAGAAAAGTTTAAAACCTAAGCTCAAGTTTAAAAGCCTTTCTTTTTTTTGCCTGTACTATATGTCATTCCAGCAACTGATATTCTCTCTCTCAAACCTACCAAAGTACACTATAGATCCTGTGAGCAGAAAAGAGACCCTAATATTAATACATCCTAACATATAGATAGTTTTTTCTTTTCCTCCAAGGAAAAGAGGAGTACAATTCCAAATTATAGGGAGCCCTGAATTGGCTAATAATTTATTGAACATCCTTTTTATTAGACAAATCTAAATCTGTTCGAAACGAAAACATGTATTAGGTAACACCAAATAGTAGTGTTACTGTCACATTGAAAAGTTTTCGTGCCAAAGATTGGATATATATAGCTAGTATTATATATCCACGGTCCAATTTGATGCTTACCCCGAATGACAATATGCTACATCTAATTAATATACAGATCTCATTCAGTGATCCGAAATAGTAATAACATATATATAGTAGTACAGTTTGTTATCCTTAAACCTTTCTTTTTATTTTTCCGGCAATATTTAAAGTTGTAAAACCTAATTTTAGCTCCTTTATTTTGTTTTGTTTATGTTAAGGATTAAATTTGTTAGGTAACATGAAGATTATGACATATAATTATTACAGACAATGTGTGAGATTAAAGATTGTTCATGTTCTCCCTGTTGCCACACACACAGCCTTGATTAATTCCTACACAAAGGTGTTCGGCCCTT